TCTTCAGCATGCTTCCTTCTTCAGGCAGATACTTACTTGCTGCAACATTGCATATTGTTGCAGATCAAATATTATGTTTGAAAAAGATATATATTACTGGCACTCAGCTATACTGCACTTTGAAAGACAAAGCAAGACTCTTTAGAGCTGTATTTGCCACCAGGACGATTTGACATCACTCCTGAGCAAAACTGTGGACAAGGAGAATGCAATCAATGTTCACTAACACAGTTATAGCAAAAAGGGAACCAAACATGGCTTTATTTGTTGCCAATATTTCAAGTTTGGCTGAGTTCATTGTTAAAGAAGATTTTTATAAAGGGTTCATCATATGGTATTTTAGTGAAAAGGGCAGTAAAACATTTATGAAGCTTCTGTTAAGTGCCTTAATTTGCTACCTGAGATGAGGTCAGTGGGGATATCTGTTTTTAAGGGGTTACAGATTATTTGATTTTACGCACAGCATTATCTACTGTTTTTCTGAGGTATGAATTGTCTTGTGGGACACACACTGACCAACTCCTGCTGTCCCAGAGGGCACTATGCCTGTATCCAAACCCTCGGCAAACCTTTATGAGTTGCGACAGAAACTGGACTGACCTGAAATTTCCTATACTGGGTCCCAGCTTGGGCTATCATGACAACCCTGAGTGAATACCAAGGCCAAGTTATTGTGCACCATCATATTATTTGGTGCAAGAACACCCACAAAGGATGATCTTATGAACAGCTGGGATAGTGTATACACAGTCGCAGAGAAAATGGACCTACAAAATTCATAATTGGAAATTAGATAACCATTTTTCACAGGGAGACTGATTACTCACTAGAAAAAAAGAACTAAGAGAAAAGCTCCATTCCTCATCTCAGTGATGGGTGCCTTTGGAAAGTACATATTAACCAAATAAAATTTATAATTTAGATGAGTGCAAATCATTTGAATCATTAGGGGACTTGAATGTAAAGGCAGCATAGGGGGTATCAGTGCCATTAATGCTATTAGCCCTAATTCCTGAGTTTTCTTGAAGTTACTCATTAGGCAAACAGGCTCTGAGAGTCAGACAAAAGGCAGAAGACATTATATAAAAAATATTAACAGCTTTTGTATAGAACAAGTGGAGTGGAATATAAAAGTTAGTTAAAGTAATAAAACGCAGTGCATTACTCTCTGTCACACCCCAACACCACTTATTTTCACCAAATAATGGAGTAACACTCTAAATGTTCTAAATACCCCTGACATTAATTTTTTGTTTTCTAGGACTGCATGCTCAATTTAGAAATAGTAAGACTTAAAAAGTTTTAATATTAACTAGAGCTGTCAAATATTTAATGTCTGAGAGTTAATACCTATGGATGTTCCAGGCAACTTAAGTTCATCTTTTCAGATGATTTTAGGAACATGTTGGGTCTAATTAAAAAATTCTACACAGCTTCCTTAATTTCTCTTTGATGCCTTAGGAGAAAGACTTGTTCCTAATAAATCTACTGTAATAACCAAATGTTGGATGAATAGAGATTCCTGTTTGAGGTTTATGAATGTCTGGCATATCATCGAGACAAACGTTTAATTACATTTTAATGATGCCTAAGTAGTCAATTGAAACTGAAAGAAATTTTACATCTAAATAGCATCCTGCAAGCAAGAAGCAGGAAAACTTTGAAATTTAGGTTAATGACACTATAATCACCAGAGGGAGAACTGGCCTCCAGAATTATCATATTCTCTCATGAAACTTTTCAGAGTAAGATGTATTATTCAGTAGTTTGTTCTATGCATGTAAATCGCGCTAAAGTAGTATAACACGCCGCAGTGTGTTTGTAACTCCACGAGGCCAGAGCAGGGTCAACGCACGTGCTTGCTACTCAGGGAGCAGATGGCCAGGACACCTGGTGGGCCATTAGAACCTCCTGGCTGCAGCAGCTGACAATTTGAAACACCCTGCTTCTTCATCCCTGGGGTAGGGGCATCCTTGCTGAATCACTGATGAAGTTGAATACATTAAAAATATGTGAAATTAGAATTTTAGCATTTTAAGGTATTTTTCACTTCAGAGATTAATTCAACTGAAAGAAATACCACGGATAATATTTTAACAGGAATTCATCCTTTTATAATAACTTCTGTCCAATTTTCATTTACTATCTCAAAGCTAATTGCAAACTCTGGTGAGGTTAATGAGTACTGTGAGAATGTGTTGATCACAGTGATGAACTGGAGCTCTGGTTTCATGTCAAGGGGAGAATCCTTGCTTTCCCGCACCAAAACTACCATTGAACTGAAGGAGAAGTTCGCTGAGAAGTTGAAAGAGCTGAAAGCCATTTCACTTGACTTACGTGTGTAAGAGAGAAACACAAGTTCAGTATGTGGTATTATTCCTGCTTTACAGAAAAGGGAATTGGCTCTGGGATCACTGTTTTAGTTGTTTTGTTTTGTTTTTTCTCTCTTTTTGCCCTAAGGAAGTGACAAAGCCAGCATAAAGAAAGCTCTCCCAGACCTGAAATGTAATACAAAAGAGTGCTTCCCTGCTTTAGCCTGTCCTCTAACTATCCTTTTGGTGGGCCTGGTTCCCTTGGGGTTTTATGTCCTAATCTAAATAGCCATAGAAATCCTTAGAAGGTGAAGTGCTCTGCTCTCTTTGTTCCAGAGACTGGGCTCGTTGTTTCTGCAGGGTTTGTAGGGCCCGCTTAGCAGCAAAAAGGAATCAAACACTTGGGCTTAAATCTTACTGCCACATCATGAGATAGCAAATGATTCTCAGACTTCTCTTAATACCTCTTATAAAGACCTCATACACATTACTATCATCCTTAATGTAACACAGCATAGTATTCTCATTTGCACTACCCAGATCACTAATCTTGCAGCTACTGTATGTATGTGAAGGCTCTGCTTCCAGAGGGAGTTACGCATTGTTAAGTGTTGGCAAAAAGGAATCAGACCTACTGAGACAAACTTTTCATTTAAATGACTTTATGGACTGTTTCAACATAATACTTTCCAAGGTAAGACGTACAATACCTGCCTGCATATTTTACAATGAAATGTTAATTCCGTTACACACTATTGATAGCTTGGCACCCTAATGACTATCATATACATAAGATTCTACTGAATTGTCTTTAATGCAAAATGCCACATTTTTCCCATATTAAAGTTCCTCTACAACTATATAACATATATATAAACTAGCAATGTATATTAACCTTTCTCTAACAGTAAATTAAGAGGAATCTTAAAAGCAGTTGTAAGGGTTCCAAAGTGAGAAACTATGAAGACAGACAAATCTAAAGGAACAGGGAAAAAATTAAAAATCTTCATGACACAGGTATATAACATATACTTAGGATAAATAGTATACAGTTCAGACTAGATGAATAGTCATAGTCACAAAGGAAAGATTCCTTTCCTTTCAGCAGAGAACATTTTGATTCTATCTAATCTATAAAGAACCAAGGACAGACACACACAGGAGAAAAAAAGGAAAGACTTGAAAAGCAGAAAGCATGGAAAAGTCTGTGTGAGAGTAGACAGAAGTCTAATAACAGATTACCTGTACACCTACTATTTTCAGACCCAAAACTTGGTAGGCACTCTCTTACATGAAGTAGTCACGTCATGTACCAAGTCTTACTTTATTTTATCCAGTTTAAGGAACTAACATATGAGAAAGTGAATAAAGTGAACACATTCATCCCTTCAAAGTGATTTCAATACTGTGGTACCTTCAGTCCTCAGAGCTGGAAGATAAATAGGGACTGCAAAAAATAGGCTGCTGAAAATTCAATTATAGTCTTTACAAATGGTAATGATGGTCTCAAAGATGCTTTCTAGATTTAGTAAAAAAGCATAGTAATACACTCATGGGTGATAGAAACGTATAGATAAGAAATACATGGACAAGACTCATCAAGTGCAATATCCCTATGAATGTTATTGTGAGTTTCTTAATTGAATGTAAAACATTTCTTCTCTCTCAGCTAGCACAATGACTACTTCTCCAATTGCTAAATTGAGGCTGATTTAAATGGAACACTTACATCTGTACATTACATGGATGTGTACATTTAAAGTTATGTTTCATCAGGAGCTTGATATGAAAGTAGCAATTAAAAATATTCTACATATAAATTTAAAGAGAAGCTGAAGCATTATCCCTAGATACTTTGGATTAGAATTGTAAATTCTCTTGAAACTTTGCAAAGGAACATTAGAAGACTGAAAGAAACCTGAAATACCTACAAATATTAAAAATTAGACTTTCAGAATCCAAATAATAGCACTAAAGTTAATGACTATGGATAAAAAATAAACCTGTTTGTTTACAGAATGAATTTGCAAAGTAATTTTTAAGTATTATCTTTTTTCTCTGACACCCTCTACTTATGCTGGAACTGTGATGCTGCCAAGAGGTTTCTTCTGTGTTTGTAGCTTTATTTTAATAGTTCTCCTTCGCTCCTGGCAGCTGCTATGAATCAGTGTACTGGTTTTACAAGGAGGTGCACCAAAGACAGCATTAAATTATTATATAATTTATGCAAACAAAAACCTAGGTTGCCATTTGCTGATGGTTTATGGGGAGCCTTTGACTTCTATATACAGAAATAATCACGTGTTCAATAGATAATGCAAAAAAATCGTTTTTTCCCTTCTGAAAAATCTATGTAGTGAGTCATTAAGTTCCTGCCTATTTTTAAGAATTGCATGGAAGGCAAATGGCACAGTTAATGACAATGTGAAGTAGAAAATGTCTCTTTCTCATAAACCTATATTCTTTCACAAATGAAACACTATTGTACAAGTGTCAGACTCTAAATATTTCCCCCTATATTTTATATACAGCTTTAAAAACTTCTACACTGGAAAAAAACCACACTAAGTGGTAAACTCTCATAGTAGATGGTCTTGCTTCTCATTACATGTCTGTGTAAAACCAACACAAAACCTGATATTTGAATCAATTTTGAGCCAATGAAAGTCACATGAAAAAGGTACTCACTTTTTCTTTAGTCTTCGGTCCTTTTCTGCTTGGGTTCCAAGTTTGCCTAATCCCAGAGATTCCTGAGCTGCTGCCTCTGTTTCCATGTAACCTCCTGGAAAACAAAATGGAACAAACCAAACCCCACCATATTTTCCCATAGCTCTCACCCAGTTGTTCCCCTTCTCAACCCTTCAAGCCCCCTCCCACCCACCACCATCATCTATGTTTGTTTCCTTAAGCCATGCCATCTGGTGTTTGTCGAGAACATCTATCACCTACAGAAGTAAATTCTGGCAAGCGTTTAACTACATGGAAAAGAGTAGAAGTAGAGGAAAAAATTGGTTCCTCCTCCTTGTGTTTAGCAGAAATCTATGACGAGGGCACCCTGATCTCCTTTGCTTGTTTTTCTTTGCCTCCTAAGGGTCTCATGGTCCTAAGTAAGAAATGCCCTCACTATTTTTTAATCTTAGTTGGGAAATGTGCAAATGAAAGTGCCATCTCAAGAACTGTCTCATTATTATTGACATAATACAGCATCACTCAATGCTGTAGTACTAAAGCCTTCATTTTTCTCTCATAGCCTTAGAGTCTTTGATGTCTTTATCCCTGCAAACTCCCAAGCCAGAGCTGACATAAAGTATCTGTCAGAGAAGTAAAAAGCCTCCTAGGTCTCCCTGGAGGTGCCTCGTAGGCACCTAATTCCTGTCAAAGTCACAGGAATTTGAATAGCTTGCATAGAGTGACAAGGGAAGCTTGCAGTAAGCAGGACACCTGGTCCAAAATAAAATTGCATTATAAACTAAGGACATGACTGGTATTGTATGATCCATGCTGATCATACAATATATCTGCTAACGTGACTTTCCTGGTGCAGAAGTAGAAAGATGCTCTGACTTTTTTATCACTGCCTGGATTCAAGGAAGAAGAGACCTGCTCATGGAGCAGTCAGTACCATCTCCTGGCTCTGGCTCCACGCTGTCCTCTCATTTGCACGTGTATGTGGGCACACAGAAAGGCTGCAGCACTTCTTTGAAGGCTGCTTTCCCCCTCTGCTGCTATTCAGAAGGTGTGTAACTGGCACAAGAAGGAAGACAACAGTATGGTAAATGTTGGTGCTTGACTCCATTTGGCAAGGGCAACTTCTTATTTCTCAGCTACTGGATAGTGAACAATTGTAGAATGGACACTGGCATCATTAAGAAAGCACAGTATAAATTAAAAGATTTCTATTCTGATTCATTGATTTTAACCAAAAAATAATGCATAAATGTTATAGAGTGAAAAAGCATCATGGCCTTTTACAAGTCACATTTACGTGCACCTCAATCAAGTGAGAACAAAAACTACTGCTGTATCATGTTTATGATGTTAACTTAGAAAAGCCTGGTTTTAAGCTGTCCTTTCAAAGCAGGTATAGTTTTAACACTCCTGCTTGTCTAGACCGAGTTTTTCTTTATTAAAGAGGACATTACTTTTGCAGGTCTCATGATGCAAAGGATGCCTCCAATCACAAATGCAGAAAACATGAACATACACTTTGCTTTACTTCATCTGCCTTTCAAAGTTTTACAGAATATCTCATGAAATGTTTCTTGCTGACTCTGGAGTAATTTTTTAATTTAGCAAACTGCTGTATCAATATATCACACCTTTCCAAGAGAGCAGCTGGCAGCATCTTAGAGATGATACGACTGCAGTGCAATGAGGATTTATCACAGATTGGAAAGTATTTGTGGCATAATGGACTTCGCCACGAGACAAACACATCTTGCCCTTTGAATAACGCAGGGTACATTGTATTGGATGTAGTGATTGTGCCTGTCTGCATCTTAGGCATGCAGATGGCCATGATAAATGTTTCCTAACAAGCTGACCTTTGCGTACACCATACAGATCAGCTTGCCTGGGCAGGGCTAAAAATCCCTGTAACATATTGTTTGTTTTAAGGACTAGAATATTTAAAAAGTAACATGGGAAAAATATTTAAGTGTCTAGTGTGGTATTCCCCAAGTGAGAGAAGACTGGGTAAGTTTAAAATCAAAAAAACCCAACCAACCAAATAAATAAAAAAAGAAATAAAAGGCACTTGTGCTCCCTGTAACATTTCTTTTCCCTTCTCCAATAATTAAAATAAATCTTGAAGAATCTAGAAACCTTGAACCTTGATTCTAAGAAAGATCTCCTAAGGCACGAATTTACCTTTGAACAATAATGTAAATGGTTTAGCAGCGATGGCAAAAGTAGAAAATTACAAAATAATGAAACTCTGGCAAGTTTAGCAGTTGAAAACTAATAATTTCAGAGTTTTGCAGGGAATGCAGAGTAAGGAAATCTTTTGGGTGATAGCCTGGCTGTGTTGAAGTTGGTGATAAAACTTTGGATGTTCTAATATTGCTTCTTAAAATATGAGTATATATTACATGTGATTTTAGAGATATTATAGAATTAGTTAAAGAATTATTATGTGTACTTACAATGTATAATATCACTGGGATCCCTAATATCCTCCACATTGACATGAACTTTTAAAGTGCTCCTTTAAACATAATTGTGTGCATGTGCAAATATGCATGTAAGAAAACAAATTAATTTTTCTGAGGCTCAAAATTATGTTTATTACCTCTTCAGTATTTGATGTGCTATTGAAGAAAAGGTATTTTCTCTATTCAAAAATATAAGATGTATCTATATCAAATTAGAATATTTACTTTAAGCAAGGTATCAAATGAGATTCTTTTATTGATTTTGCATTATAAATTTAGGTTATGAAAACCATACAAACATACTGCAGTGCAATGATAGGACTACTATCTAGATTTCTGTGATATAGTATCTTAGTATAATTAGAACTATTAATTATATAGCAGCACAGATATTGTACCTGTCATGGAATTGATTCAAGTACTACCATGATTGCTATTTTTGAAATACTTTTTGGTCAGTGAACATTCTTACTGTTAATTTTATACATGCTTGTAAACGTGGTTTACTGAATTAAAAATGTGCATTATAATGAAATCTTTGCTATACTGAATCCTTTGAGCTAAAGGACAGAAGCCACAAAAATTGCATTTAATTGCAAATCTTCACTAATATCTTTTTGCAATTTCATGAGCTAGTGTTGGGAATTACAAATAGGCTTTATCCAATTATACATATGTCTTATTAATCATGTTGGGTATTATTAAGAAATTAATCTATTGCCAGATTACATTGCTCCTGAGACAATCTTTAAAGTTGTTATTTTATTTTTGTTCCACTTTGCAAGGAACTGCAGGAAAGACCAACACATTTATTACATCTTTGTCCTCTATGTTCCTGAATTACAGTGAAATCATAGATTATTATACATAATCCATCAGCACCAATAAAATTGGTTTTATAGAATGTGAGTGTGAATTAATAACGTAGTCTAAAGTTATAAAATTCTCCATCAATGCAGATGGTGACATGCAAGTGTATTTGAGAGACTCATTTAATAGATTCTGAAATACATTAAACTATGAAAAAGATTGAATAAATCAGTTTTATTCTTCCCACAGTGAGAAAAAAGGGAATTTAAAATGCAATTAGAAATTAGTTATTTTTTTTCAAGAACAGAAGGTTCTCACAGGCAGAGAGGAGAAAGGTTGGAGTATAAATGGAGAATGCTCAGCTATTTGATTTTACTCTGATATTTTGACTGTAATATTACCTTATTTTATTCTGTACAATTTTAGTGCTGGGTTTGCTAGTTGTGATAAGGACATGTTTTAATATGAATTTAGTTTTTTAATTTCAGGTTTACATACTGCTTAAGCGTTTACAGTTACTGCAAACTCTCAAAATTCTTTTACATGTGTTATGTGGTCACCATGGCAGTAAAAATTTAGTGCCTCACAAATTCATACTCTGTGACATCTTGACTAGGAAAGAGATAGTATTTCTATTTTACTGACACATCTACACCAATTTGATGCCTGTGTTGGCAGGTGTATGTATGCTAATCTTAATCTAGCTCAATCAGATAGCCTAGCAATACAGACTAAGGATGTATTTTCCCATCTGGGCATGCAGACTTTGAGCCTTTGCTGAAGACTGCCACTTCACCTTCCATTGCTTATGCTACCTAAGGTAGTTAAATAAAATCATGCTATGACTGGTATCTTTTTTGCATGTGGTATACACATATCCTATGGAATATCACAGAGGAAAATTTTTACAAGGAATGAATTAGACTAAGGGTTTGGCAAGGGAAAAGGGCAGAAGAAGTAGGAAGAAAAAAAAGCATTTCTGTGAGCAGCATAGCTCATTGAAAGAGTATGGTGAGGACGTTCAGTGATAGGCACTAGCAGACAGCTGTTGACACAATGAAGTCTGAAAAGCAACTACATTTACTTGCAAGGACCTTCCATATCACATAGTTACACCCCTTGTGGTTTATTACTTAGTACTTTCTCACCTCCTCTTTATTTTTATTACTTGAGAATATACTGTTAGCACTTTTACCCTAATTCAAGAGACTACTGAAGCAGTAGGTTCAGTGAAGATGACAACTGTAGTAATTTTTGCCAGAAGTCTCCTTTCATTTGCATTATAGTCATAGCAAACTCCTGACAAATATAATTGCTGATAGCAAAGAATTTTAATGGGAAGGTTGTGCCAGACTAAAGAGAAAAATAAGCAAATTGGAAAACTGAAAAGAAGCAAAATTAAAAATGGAAAAATGACTGTGAAATGGTGATCTTGGCTTGTTACCACTAATTCCTTACTGAGCTGTCCAAGTCGAGCCTTCTCTTTTTTACCAAACAAACGTCCTATTGAAGACTTGATTCCTTTCTTCTTGGGAGCTTTGTGCAGGGAGTCCTGGCTGCTGTTGACACTGCCAAGACCAATGCTTTCTGGCTCCAGTGAAGCAGGCAAACTACTACAGAATGATAACAAAGAAATTGAATAGATAACAAGTCAAAATTTGCAGGTAATTTTTTATTTTTTCTGAGCAGCTCTGCAAACAAATTAATTGCTTATACTTCAGTAGTAATCTCCCCACAAGTGAAGCAATCACATCTTCCCTAAATGACTTGAAACATGAAGAAATCGGGTCATTTTGGAATACTTAAAACAAAAACGTGATTTGAAGAGAATAATATGCTGTAAAACAGTGAAGTACCAATTCATGTTACAAATATCTTACCTTCTGGCATCATTGTGGTATGATGAAGGAAGGGTATGAGTCATTCTGATAGCTCTGGGTGTTGGGGGAGGAGAAGTTTCACATTTGATTGTGGCTTTATCTTCACGCCCATCTTCTTCGACTACTGCAATCTGGGGGAGAGAGATTCCATGAGAGCAGATTAGCTTTTCAAGAAAGTTTCAACATATGCTGCACGAATTTGTCAAGTGAACTGAAGCATGTATGGAGTCAAGTGCAATTTTTTGAGCAAATTGTAAGGATTCTTATTTTTGAAGGAGACTACTGGGAAAGATCAATTGCCTAAATATGGCAGCTTAAAGTATGTATTTGAAAAAAAAGAGGCTACACGTGAAGAAGAAATTAATTCCTTTTATGCCAAACAGGTTGATCTAGTAAAGGTCTAAACATGAAAATAACCTTTGACATGAGCAGGTCTCTTGCATTAAGCAGGATTATTCCAGTAAACAAAGTTTCTCAGGGATGTAAGGGAGAAGGTAAATACAGACATAAACAGGACTACTCTCTCCATAGCTTGTTAACAGTATGGTCAGAATGCTTGAAAATAAGCATGAACAAAAAGGAGTTTCATCACTGCATATAATGCTCTATCTTAAATACCGTCTCCTCTCATGTAAAGATTCAGTGCCAATTCTGTAAACAACTTTATATGGCTCAGAAGATTTTAAGTAATCTGACTCTGGTTCCTCCAGCTAGAAGAATGGCCGAAATACATTTGAAGGTAATTCTTTTGTGTCGACACTTTGTTTTTAACTGTGTTCCTTTAATTTTGTGCTGTAGAGCCTACTACTCCAAGGTATCACTGGTGGGCCTTGATTCTATGGCTTAGCTGTGACCCCTGCAAGTCTTTCCAGGTAGAATTGATATGATTATGTTCAGGAACTGAACGAAAAGGAGTGGAGAGGATGCAGTGGCTGGCAAGGAACCCAGTTATCTAAATAGCAGAGGAATATGATAAATGTGCTCTCCCAAACTTAAAAAAACCCCCAGTATCATACCTTTCTCCGATGTTTCCTTAGGTCGCTTGGCTTAGATTGGTAACAAAAGCAACAACAACAACAACAAAATGATTAATAAATATAATTAATAAATCTTATCTGAGCATAACAAAATGCCACACATTCGTTCTTCTCACATTCAGAAGTGGGAAGGGGAGATTTTATTAATTTACTACTATCCATATTATATACTAATTATACACTTGGTGTCATGAAGTAAGATAACTCCTGACAAATAAGCCATTCTGGGAAAGTACCTATTTTTTCTAAAGTTACAATCTCCTTTGTTTTCATAAACTTAGGAAAGAATAAGACATTGCAAGCTTATAGTAGCACGTTTTATTTTTGGAGCTTTCATATAAATCCTTCCACTCTCCCCAGCATGGAGGTTTGTTTTTTTGTGTTATTTTCTTTTAGTTTTAGCTAATATTTCAAATGCATGGATGTCTCACCGAGTATAAACACAAAATACCGTCAACAAATACTGTGTCTGAAAAAGGGGTCTTTCTCTCCAGTTATCCCTCATTAATGTGACTAGCATTTTCAGTCAATGGATACAAATTCACCCATCTCCTGCACTGCAGCATTATTTGGCAGTGGAAGGCTGTGAGAACACATCTTGTTCCATCCCCTTTTCATTTTTATTTTTGGTAGATGTCTCATTCATTCAAGGAAAGCTGAAGATACTCTGCAGAATTTATTTACTGCATGGACCTGGGCCATGGAAACTCATGCAGTACTGCTCCTCCAACCAACTCCTACAGGATTATTTGGCAATTTGGTCTCTAGAGACCAGGACTCTACAGAGCTCTTCCCAACTCAAAGTTTCCACTTAGAAGATGTCTGATAGCCTGTTGTGTCTGTCCCCAGCCAGTAAGGAGGAGATATTCACAAGTGAACTCATGCTGAACCAGTGCAGGGCAGAAGTGTCCTGAAGTGGTTGATGAGAGTGAGCAAAGTTGTGGGCTGTGCTGTCGAGCGTGCAGTGGGTTGCTACTTCTACAGCTTATGATATGTCAAGAGTTCAACGGCAACTCATACAGACGTATCCATCTGAGCTTTAGCACAGCTAGAGCTGGGTGCTGGTGAGGCCATGGCAACCTGAAGTGCAGAGGTTATGCTGTCATTTTGTATTTGAATCTGATGAACCTATTGACCCAAAGCTGCTGTGTCCAAATCAAGGCAACCAGGCAGTGAGGTGTCTGATGGAAGGTCAGTTTAACCATTGCCATTTATCTGTAGCCAGATTGCTTTGTTTAAATGGCGCCAAACTGCATATTTGGGAAGGTGCTGCTTTGGTGAAGTGGGTGTACTGTGGCAGCCTGCACACCACCTCCTCTACAACGGTCTGTGCCACCAACATTTTCATTTATGCTGTTCAGCAGTGGGAACTGGGGGCAACAAAGAATCAGTCCCACAGTCTGCCACAAATGCCAGCCTTGACCTCTTTGCTGTCTTTAGTTCCCAAGAAGGCAGCAAACACCATCCTAAACTGGAAGGGGTAGAGGTGGATACAAGTAGTTGTCAGTTCCCAGAAAAAGGAGTACTCAGCTAGATGATGGTAGACAAAAGTCCCTACTCCCAGCTCAGCAGAAAGAACAGCCAGGGTCCACTCCCAGCTGTTCTTAGAAACCTTCTTGGCTAGGAGAGTTAATTTCTGCTGTCTGATTGAGATCAAAGCTCATTTCCCCTCTGCTAAGAGGCTCCACGGGAAATCAGTGCTGCTGCTCCCTAGGAATGGGACACAAGGGGACAGTGATGACATTCAGATTATCAGAGAAAAAGCAAATAAAAAATGGGGTTACACATACCCCGTTCTCCTCTCTGTATGTAGATGTCAGCAGAGTGGGCTGCTTTGATTCTCTCCTAGTGCTTAAAGGGATGAACTCACCCAGGCTCCAAACTGGTTTCTAGCCCACACTGAACACCGCACCCTGTGTCTGCACTCTTATCAATATCAGTTGTACATCTTGAAGATGTCGACACATACTACCTTCACATACTTGACTGTTGCACTGTTTCTCTTTGTCTAGGACCAAAATTAAATTTTTTGCAAATTCCTTTTCAAATCAAACCAGACATTTCAGAATATGTCTTCAAAGGTATAGTAATGTTAGAAATGTTTTGCATGATAATTTGATGGCTTGGTATCCATTTATGTGTGCTGCTTGCAATGTTGAAATCTATCAGTTAAATGAATTATTGGAAAACAAAGCACTTATTTCAAGTTCTTGATACACTGTCATGAAGAATACGTACAAAATGCTGCAAGTATAGTGTACCAAATATAGAAGTATATCTAAATGATCATATATATGAAGTAGTAGAAGGTTTTAATGTCTTCTCGACATTTCTTGGAGGTTTAAACTCAGCAACAGTCCCACAGACAACTGTGTAATAACTGTAGCAAGAGCTTTTAATTAGTAAACAGTTTTAACATATAAATTGATTACACTAATTCCAATGATCAGTTCTGTTTGTTATTAATTCCATTGCCTGCGTGCTGAAGGCCCTTGGTCCTCAGGTCATTATGCCCCCGGTGAATCATGCAATGCTCAAAAACACAGTAACAAAACTCAAACCCACCCAAACATCCATAATTCTAGGGAATTTGCTCTCTGTATATATGATGAAGAGGTGAATAAAGAATTAGAGACATAAGCCATTCATACAGTGAAAAGATGAAGTATTTAATACTAGAAATATCACCCCTAAAATTGGCATCACAAAGTTTCTTACCAGTGTCATAACCCCCATTCTGTCCATCTCCCTGGCTGGACTGCGAGGGGTGAGTTTAGGAGTTGAGTGCCCGCTGGGAGGAGATGAGCTTGCAAGTGACGATGCGGTCACTGAGCCAGTGATGGATGTACCTTGGTGGACTCTGGCCAGATTTAAGCCTTCCAGACTCACGCTGGCCACTCTGTTCTCTATCTCTTCGGCACGCAGTTCTGTCGACTCCTTCTCTTCTTGGATTAACCTTATTAAATAAAAGAAGAACGTGGTCGTATTTGCCTCTGCATACCCCAAAAGCAAAACCAAAAAAATTGTTTCCTTTCAAATGAGATTCAAAAGAAAAAGAAAGCAAACATGAATAACATAGGTCAGCTCCAAAGTAATACTGAAACATGTCTTTTTAATCACCAGTATTATAAAATTATTCTTCTTAATTCCTCCATCCTCAAAAATTGTTTGAAGAATCTGCCTAACAACAAGATTTGACATACGACATTTCAGGAAGACTGGTTCCTTTGCAAAGGAGACAGTATAGGGGAGGCAGGGTTAAAAATCTGATTTACCATAAGAAACTAATTCCAATCTTAATTCGGCTTCATCTGATTTTCTGTTGCTAAAGCATGAACACAAATTTAAAGTCAAATGAAATTGGACCTTTAAGAAGGGAATTTCTAAGACAATCCATATTAATAAAACAAGAGAACACGCAAAGCAATTTGTCTGTTTCATCCCTACACACTGATGAAAAAATGACAGTTGTTTCTAAAGCATTGAGTTTTTAAGTGTATTTCATTAAAATAGCTCTCTTGTTAACAACAAATATAAGCTTCTTAAACATGTATAGCCTCAATAGCATGCTTCCACTGGGTTCTTTGTTTTGGTTTTTAATTGTGATTGCACCTAGAATGATAAAACTGTTTAAAATAAAACATTTGTTTCTAAGTCCTTTGCCCATAAACCCATGTTAGAAGGAGTCTTTTTTTGTGAAGAGGAGGAAAAAGTATGAAGGATCAAGGTTAAATGAGAGAATATGAAGTTTGGGGAAGCTGAAACTGGTAACCAGACTTTTCTGAGTGAAATGAAGCAAGTACAGCAAATGAAACCATAATACATTGAAAATAGAAACCTACAAGTTCCTGTGCTGTGATAAATCTTCTTCCCTAACATCCATTTCAAAATTTCTATAAAATGTCTACAGTTCTTTCTGAAATGAGGCATGGCAGGATATTAAAGGCAAATAATATTTTGAAAGGGAATTGTAACAATCTTTTCCATTTTAGTAATCTAAATTTTGAATCATCTTGTGTAATAAAACAGATCTAAGGCAAAATACATTTTTAATCACTTTTGATATCTCCAGTCATTTGATAAACCCTTATACTGTTTGTCAAGAAAAAGAAAAAAAAACAAACCAAGAAAATGTGAAATGCAGTACAGTTTATAAGACTATTGTTGTAGAACCATTTTTCCTGAAACTTATGAAAAAAAGAATACAAAATTAGTTAACTGGTTCTTTAATAATGATGGTGATGGTAATGAAAGTCTATACTTCAGTACAAGCTTAGCAGTAGGGGAAATAAACTACTCTCAGTGGACCTCCAGTAAAAATGGCTACATACAATGTGCACCTTTGCTTCCTTTTTGAGATAAAACTGTACCTAGCATCTAAGTCAAGATCCTGTGTTAAGTAAAACAGTGATCTGATTCAGGATGGCTCAAATAATATCCCACTATGTCACCTGCAGGTACAATTTCTTGTGACAGCCTTTTACTGTATTACATAATTACCTGTTAAATAGTCAAAATGCCAGTATTTTTTAAAACAAATACCTTTCTTGCATCTACAGCTTCCTGAATTGGTCACAGTGCTGACTTCTTTGTAATAACAGAAAATAGGTATAAGGTTCTCTCTTTTACATACACTGTTTTAAGGAGATTTACCCTCCCAACGACAACATTTCTCTTTGACTGTCTATCTTGACAGCTGTAATAAGAGACTTTAGAAAATAGCAGAGTAATCCTATCTGAATGAAGAAATTCTGGGAATAGTGAAAATGCAAAGCTGCAGATCTATGAACAGAAAAGTTATTCAAATTCAATATATTCCAACAGAGTTCTTCCTTTGAAGTTACCTTGCTCAGAGAATAGCTGAGATGTGGCAAAAGGTAATCTGGTTTTGATTATATTTCTAATCACAGTCTTTCTGTCTATAGTATTACCAGAAAGTCACTAATACATTTAGTAATCTCCTTCATCTCCTTATAGAGAAACAGTCACTAATGAGAGGATGTTTTTCATACACCAAGTTTTTAAGTTACCTTTCCTGAAAGACATGTAAGAATGCTTTAAGCTTAAAATATGGTTCTATTTATAAAGCTCACTTAATTAAAATACATCATTGGATTCTCTATCACTCCATTAAATTTGCACAGAGATTATTAAGATACATTCAACTCACCACCTATTTCCACTATAACCCAACTTGGAGCACAAAAAATCACATTCTGTGCCTCCATAGAAAACCAAAACCATGTCTTAGAAAACGTGGCTTATATGATATATAACATAGGAATAATTATCAGAAGAAAGCACGAAGAGCACAGAAAGAAAACATTTCTGATAGGAGGTCATTAGTGAATAAGAAGAGTCACACAAAACAGTGAAAAAGACCTTGAAAAGAGGCCTATGAATAGCAATCTGTTAAATTTGCCCTGTGTTAGACTTCTCTGACGTATTTCTCTTCAATTGGCCAGCAGTTCTTGGAACATTTTTTGAAAGAAATTTCTATGGTTAGGAAATGAAGATGCCATTGTTATCTTCACACAATCAATACTCTCATGTGAAAAGCAGACACATTATCAATCCTTTAAATGTACAAGTGGTTTCCTAATTGCTATGAACAGTACCTGAACTCATGCACTAAAGGAAGCTTGAAGCTGTAATCATAAGTGCATCACAGCTGGTTCAGGCTACATACCTGATTTCTTTATTGATTGCATCTAGCTGCTCCTGAAGCATCATGGCCAGAGTCTGGGCATCAGAATGGCCGCTTGGTGACAGGAGGTCCATGGAGCTGAAAAGCGTTTCTCTATCATCATCATCGATGTCGGACATTTCAGTGTCGCTTTCAAATGGATGGCTGCTCAAAACGCCGATCTGCTGAGTCCTATTCCACTCGTGATCTCCAAGTGATTTTACCTGAGCAGGAATTAGGATGTACATGGCTTATTCCATGGAAAAACAACTGCAAAGTTGAACTTCTATAAAATGGGAAAGCAAAGCAACTAACATTTAAGAATACTTATTCAATAATTAATTCACCATTAATATTTGCAATATTACCACAGATGATGTAAAGTATTTTCACATAATTTTTAATGCTGTATAAAATTAGCTATCAGGAAAATTTACACAAAAATATACCCAGAAAAGACAGACAGTCAAGTATGCTTGAACTTTGATCTCTGAACTTCAACCTTTTCTGCCTTCATTTTAGTACAACGGTACTCTTGTCTGAGTATGTATAGAACCCCACCCCCCCTGCTATTTGGGGGGTTTTGTTTGGGATTTTTTTTGGTGTGTTGTTGGGTTTTGTTGTTTTTGTTTTGGTTTGGTTTGGTTTTTTTTCCTGGAAATACACAAACTGTAAGCTTAAGAACCTGAAATACATTTTCTTATCAGGTAATATGAGAAGAAATTGGGGATTAACCTTTGGTTCATCTCTGCGTACACCCATCCGGCCTCTTCTAGGTCGCCTTATCACTTTAGTTGACCTATAGTCAGACTGGCTATCAACCAGTGAGCCCACAGAATACCTCAGCTCTGCTGATGTGTCAAGGTGAGGCCTATAAAAAGAGCCACAGAAGTAGATTAAGACAGTAATAGTAATAATAACAGCAACAATCCAATGATCTTCAGTCTAGAAACACAGATATATTTTTTTAAACAAATTATTATGTGTCAGAATAAATGACAAAAACATGGCACAAAATATAATTTAGAAGTGAAAACGTGAAATCATATTAGGAGAAGATTAAGGAAGAAAATAAACACAGACGTCTATTTTTCAAAATGAAGGACTTGCACAGTAAAACTCATTGTCTGAAACTATAATATGAAAAAACAAGCAGATTTTAGGACAAGATAATTAACAGAACTGGCTGCTGAATGCACTATCCTGTATATTTTCCTTCCATTACTTTCCTAAATAAATATGCCTGAGGTTACTGTAAGCATGTTAACACGTTCATGAATGAGGTTATAACACTTTCCTACTGTAAGTCTGTGCTCCGTATTATGAAAATATTAGTGAACTGCCTTGCAATATATAGCATTTGTTATGAATGATTCATGTTTATTTGATGATGCTTTTGAGAGTTTTAGCCCCCAGTTTTTCCTGTAGTCCTGGTAAGTCTTGGGACATTGTGGAGAGGCATATACAGAAGGACTTCAGCATATCTTTTCTTGGTTGCATAGAATGGTCCCTGCCCTTTCCATGCTTGGTCAAACAGTAGCAGTAAAAGGCACCATGCTTGGTGCAATAGAAGCATCTTGCCCGTGTAGCCGAATCAGAAGAGCAAAGGTTCCATGCACCCACCATTTGAGTATTCAGCCACAGCTATGGCTGAATTTCTATTCAATAATTTCTATTTTTTAACACATAAGCAATCTCCATGTAAAAACTTACAAATAGCATGATTGCAGTAGAAAAATTAAACAAATACTATACTAATAAGACAACTAAATATGTATTTGTTTATAGCGACTCAATGTTTGACATTTCACTATCTATAAGAGCATAAAATGAGAGTTTAGTGTTGTACTTACTTTTTCTTTCTTTAAAAAAAACTTGGGAAAAATGCTTATAGTCACCTACAGACAACTTACAGGGTTCACAGCAATGTTAATAAACAGTTATGGGAAACAGAACAGGAATAAGTTTTGTTCAGTAAAATGATGGCTTTAATCCTAGACATGAAACAGCTAAGTAAGAGAAAGTCTGCTTTCCAAAAAGAAGGAAATAATTCAGAAAACCATGTATATCTATGCTGAAAACTGCAGGCTGTATGCATGACTGTTTTCCTGAGCTTTAGTTCTGTGTCTTTTTCTAAACAGAGACTCACTTTGCCTTGAGAACTTAATGTGAATTAAGATGTACTCATACTTGGAAGACTGAAGCATTTGTCTCAAATTTCAAACATCTCTTTAATACAGTACAAGTGAAAGATAAAATATTATAACTGTGATGCCTGTATATTGATAAATGGGAAATGCGAAAACATCATGATAAATATGAAAGCCTCTGCTACAAGCTACTTTGACCAAGTGGTATGAAGAAACGTAATTACTGTCTGGTATTATAAGTACTGTGACAAATCTAAAATAATAATGGAAGGATTTCAAGCACTAATACAGTGTGTTTTATAAAAAATAAAAACTGTAAGAAAACAAATTAAAAAAAAAGAAGTACCAGAATTCCTGAAACGTGAGTATGTGCCATCGTAATCAAATCAGATAAAAATGTCACAGATACTGAATAATGTTTTAGAATTTAGGTTTTGGGTAGAGCACACATACTCTAGAGCTCATACTGTGGTCATAAATATCCTTTTGTAAACAACCATCAATTTATCTTCTGTGTCCCATCACGCCTGGTACGAATTTCCATAATATTAGAAAAATTATGATTTTACCTTCTAAAAAAATTCTCTAAAACTCACTTTTTTCATTATACCAATAAGAAAACTTGACAACAGTTGGGCTACAAATGTCCTAAGCTCTCCATCTACAGCACCGGACAAAAATATTTTGGGGTTTTGTACATTTAATTTGTCTGTATGTCTCTCATCTGTTATATAGTAAACCATTTAGGGCAGTGACTCTTTTTTATTTTCTGTGTTTGTACCGTATTTGCTGTAATAGAACTTTGCTCTGATAATTGATAATACTTGGTACTTGTGCAGCAAGTTGGCAGGAAAATAGAAACAGCCCAGGTTCCAGTCTCTGGCAGCAAATACCTATCTGCTGACCAGCTTCATTATTCTTCTGCTGAAAGAAAAAAACTCCAGCAAATACAGAACTGAATATGTGGTTAGAACAATAAATATTTAATGCTAGTACCTCCCTATTGCTTAGAGGGCTGGTAGCTTTGCGAGGTGAGGTCATGAAAGGGGAAATGTGCTGTTTTGGGAGAACCTGCTGAATTCCCAAGACATTTAGACAGCTTCTCAAGTCCAAATAGCCCTTTGACAAGGGCTAATCAGACTCCTATTTGCAGAGCACAAGGTAATGATACTCATGTACCCAGCAAGAAAGGCTGCTCTTCACCAAGGATGGCTGCTCCAAAAACATCTCTGCTGGCTGTTGCAGCAGTTCAATAGTCTGTGTCCTTGCAAGCACTCTTAAAAAACAGTGTTGTGTGTGCCTGTAGTCACACTTACACTCCCAAAGGAACAAAAATCCAAACAGTTACAAGCATTACATTCTGAATTTCAGTGATTTACACTTCTCCATGTATAGAAAAATATTATTCCAAGAGATAATAAAAGGTTGAGGGAGAAACCATGTCCAGATACTGAGCAAGACGTCTGAGGAAACAATGGGCAGACAATACCTGATGGAAGCAAAAAAAAATATTCAAGAATAACAACTTTGGAGGATTACAGTGCTTTGAGTTTAGTCTTGGTCCACGAGCTTTGGCTGGTGGGTTTTAAAAGTTAACATGTTGCTTGTTATGAAAACAGGACGTGGCACACAATTATCAATAAAGTAACAATCTTATTTTGAGGGATACCTTTAGGCAAGAAGGACTGTCTGTCTGGAATTGTAAATTCATTTCAGCTGTTGGTATCTACTTCTATGATAGCTGTCTCATTTTTGTTCCCATACTGCTTTTCTGCCACAAAGAGGCATAATGTTTAATGTTCTGTTATATTTTCAGACCTCTCTGAATACTGCCTTCATCTTTAGCTGAAGATCTGAGGTCTTATCTTACACACTAAACAAAACTGAGTTATTTCTTTCTAATAAAAAAATAATTACTAGATGTACTTGATATAATAAATAAATAAATATGATCATAAATATGCTGATTAGTTTCAGCATTAAAGATGATGGTTTCAACTTTAAGTTCTCCTGGGGGGAAAAAAAAGGGTACTTGGATATACTTCTGAAAACATTCCATAATTTAAAAGACTTTCGTTAATCTCAGTAATATTTCAGTGTATACGTACTGCTGTAAGGCACCGTTTACCTATGAAAAAAGGTGAAAAGCAACAGTAATAGTCATTGCACAGACTTGACATTTTTAAAGAAATACATTGTTTTTATGCGTGGTTGGAACACATCCCTGTTGTAAAGGCTTGACACTTGTATTTATGTTCTATTTTAACTCAAAGCAAGGAAACTTTTGTCATTAAATATTACCTTGACAATGTGGGTTCGATTAAAGAACCAGCCCTCAATTTCATTTGATCCAGTTCAGATCTCAGTTTCTCAATTTCTTCGGCAAGTCTTTCCTGGAAATGAGAATAGTAAGATATACTTACTTGTGAGACAAAATACATTTACTTTATGAGATATCGCTCTTGTAAGGCTAAATGAGTAAGATAAACCAAATATAACACTGACTGTAATAAGAAAAGGCAGTGAACTCATTCAAGTCTCATTATTGCTAATAAGACATGCATCAAGAGGAGGTTGTATTGCACTCTGTAGTGTTTTTCCACTAGCTGGAAGAGATGGCAGGACAGGGTTGTACTCAAAACTTACTTTTTTTCTTCTCATACAGCTAGGGTCAGGAAAAGAACCACCACTGATTTTTTAACTAACTGCACTCTCTGTGCCAGGCATAGTCCAGCGTGTGAACTATTTGCCCTTTAGAGACAGAGATTGCATCCTGGCCTTTTTATTTACAAATAGAGACATAGAGATAACCACATTTTAGGTGCTTTATTGAACTGCAGCTTTACAGCTTGCTCTTGGGAGTTGATGGAACTCCAGTATGAGGTGCTACTGATGAAAAGTGACAGACTGCTACAAAAATTGGATTATTGGAACTGACAAAAAGACTATTGACAGCAACCACTAGGAAAAAAAGCGCTGTTCCCAAATTCTACAAATAACAATAGTTTACCAATAAAATTAAAAGAAATCAAAGAATTTTAAAACAAATTAAGAGAGAACATGGGATAAAGAAGTAATGCTGCTGTTCCTAGAGTTTAAAATGTTCAGGATTCCAAAATGCTAGGAAGGAAAGGGATCTGCACTTAATTACTATCAGATTCAGTAATTCTTATTACAGTATTTTTACACTATTTCTTGGTTGAATAGAGGAGATTACTTGGTGGTTACGTCGCTTGTATCATTTTCTAGTTATTTAGAGATTATTAATATCTGGTGTTATGTCCATGCATCTGAAATTCCTTCATCAGTTGCTTCATCAAAGTGAAACAAATAAACCCTTCAAAGTGGGAACTTAAAAGCTCCGAAGTCAGACCTATGTGGTTGTGTGTAAAGAGGACTCATCTCTATCAGTTGCACAAAGTGGTAGTGGAGGGCTTCTATTTATTTAACTTCCCATCCTTAAGCAACGATCAACAAATATAATAAAAAATATCTTTGCAAAAATACTTTCAATACCAATGTAGGGTCTTTTAACCAGATTTTTCACCTTTGCCAAGAATTGATATGAACATTTAAGCCAGAAAACAGACTGCAAAAGAATTAGTCAGTGTTCACTTCCACCCAAACACTATTAAAACAATAAAGTTATGTTGGAGATAACATTGGCGAAATACCTTATTTACACAGACAATATTGGCATCCATAATTCAGGTTTAGATTCTCTGGTGGCAAAATGATAGAAACTTTTGTTTCAATTGACACAGCTTTAGAAATGTCCTTTTTGTCTGCTAACTTCATGGTGAAGTATGATCCTGATTTTGCGACAGCTGAATCACCTTATAACTGTGCTAGTACAACAAGGAAATTTTATTTATTTCAAATGCACTACAAGCTCCTTTTTGGGACTTTAATCTTTCTGCCTTTCTACAAGGTTATCTGAATGTAGATGAAAATAACAATTTATTTGAACAGATACTTCTTTTGTTATTTTTCTCAAAGTTCTTGAATTTGGATGTCATATGATATAATTATATTAGTATTGAATGGAGCTATGTTTTTTAAATTCTAGACAATCTCTTTTAAGTTGATTTGATACCTTACAAAAACACTTCTGTGAATCTGAAGGCAGATATATTTGTGTATCCTACTGTGTGCAAGGCAAGCATAACTTCAAAACAAAATCCTAACATTTGGGATTGAAATAAATATTTATCATTAATTTGACTGATTCACTAAGCAGTATTAGGGGTTAATTTGCAATGAACTAAGAAAGGCCACTTTCAGCTATATTTAGCACAATGCCACTGCACCTGTTAAGAAGAATTGCATCAAATCAAGCAATTACATTCTTCACCATGGAAGTGTAACCAGTTATGCACACATCTCTGTTAAACAAGAGTTTCTCAGAATTAAATCTGATAGAACAAAAATTCCAGAGCCAGTGAAATCAGTATGAATTTTAGTATTGCGCTCCTGAGGCTAGGATCTCAACCATAAACTTAGCTCAGAAAAATTGTTACAGACCCTCAAAGGCTAGTTAAGACATCTGGGTGATTAAAGGAATTATCATTGATGCCAGGAAGATTTCAGATGTAGGTTGGATAATTAATATACCATACACATATTTCCAAATAATAAATATATAACTTTTGATAAAAACAGATGAAATTGTAGTATTTTATAGTACCTTGTCATGTAAAGACTCTTCCAGGTTTTTCCTGAAACTTTCAGATTCTTGAATCAAAACATTCTAGGAATTAAAAGAAAAAAAAAAAAAAAAAAAAAACCAGAAAGAAATCAGGGAAATGTTAAATATTCAGATACCACCATATACATGTAGCCTCCATGTACAAGTTACCAAAATTCATATTCATTGGACTTTAAAACTAAAATCCCTTAATGCTTCAGTTTAAGTATACATTAAATTTAGAACACTGGAACTAATCCAAACATGTAGGACCATGTTCTATCAGGAACAGCAAAAACTTTGCATTTTCCTTGAACTGAGCAACTGTCACACTCTTACACAACTATTTCTCCCATGTTTTTCTTTTGGCAGGCCTATTTCTTGCTTTGTATGACATTTTGTTTCAATGATATAAACCAGAAGTACATCCTCTGAGAGGTTCAGAAGTATCCTGAAAGACACTGAAAGATTTCCCTCAGATCAAACTGAACGTGAATAAGTAGAAGAGGAAGGGATTAAGGAGGGTGAATATAAAGGTCATGGGATTTGAACTTTGCAGGCCCATTGTGTCTCACATCACAGAAAACCAGTAAATAACATTCCCTCTCCAAGGGTAGATGCTCCTTCTCCTGTGGTGACAGCATTTTACTCTTCCCAGAGGAAGCGAGGTAAAGTCATCAGGCTAAAATACGACACTGAAAGCACATCTGAAATGCAGCCATTCCTCAGTTCTTGTCCACTTTATCTCACTGCCTCTTACTGTGTTGTGCGCTGGTCCTTTACAAGCTCTTCATCAGGCTCCCCGCTGATAAAACAGGGACTCATAATATTCAGCATATGCAGTTCACTGTAGTCCTGGAAAGATTCTTGAGCACACTCTTGAATTAAGAGTTGAATGTATAAGTTAGACCATATTTGTGGTAATATTTGGTAATACAATATCAGCATAATGCTTCCATCCTGATAAAAGTAGAACAGGTTTCATACAGGAGAATCTTTATCAAGCTGAACTTTATACTGCTCTTTGCACTGTACCTTTTCTTCAAGTGCTGCCATTCTCTCTTTTAAGTGTAGCTGCAGACGCTCATTGGATTCTGTCAAAAGTCTGTCTACGGTATCCGATAATCTTTTGTTGTGCTCCTCATTCATTTTTTCTCTTTGCCTTGCCTTTAATGTAGAACAGAAGAAACAGATTGGCAGGGTCCAAAATTAACCAGTACAGGTTTGTATCATTAAAAAATAAAAAAAATTTCTTGTAACTGTAACCATTTAAAGAAATTTCACAGAAAATGTAATTACAGTTATTGATTAATGCATATTCATTTTTGTATCAGCAGAATACTTTGAAAGCTGCAGCTAGATGTAAACTAGTATATTAAGATGGTTAAGTAAAATAGGAAGATGCTGCCATCACTGCTATAAATAAAATATTTACCAGTAGATAGGTTTGTGTGCAGGACTGCATAATGTAGTGCTACATTGACAAACTAAAAGAAGAAAAGTGCACACAAGTTGTCTGCAATACACATACTCTTTGAAGTTCCTGATTCTTCTCTTCAAGTTGAGCTTCTAAGTGTCTCATACGTTCCTCAATGTTTCCATGTCTTTCTTCTGCCTGTAAAAACATAGAAAGACTCTTTCTGTAATTTAAGTGGCTTCGTAAGTTTTTATCTCAGTAAGGTTTAAACAAAACATAAAGCAAGCTACTACTAACTGCAAACTTAGTTTTCCGAAAAGAAACTTTATTTAAACAGGCAGCTGAACAGCATTGCTTGAAATGTGTCAGCTACAAAGGCCTGTTACATCCAAGCATCAGCAAAACATTGGAGTTATTTATGAGCAATGAAATCAGCCAAATGTAACATGCAGACTGTGCATGGTTTGAACACAAACCTGCCATCGTAAAATTGTAAGCTCCTGAAGCACTGAACTGCACGATGGTTGATTATCAATAAAAAAAAAAATAAAATAAGTTAAAGAAAATGAAAACAAATCAGATGGAGTCTATTTAGCAATAGAAAGTAAAGTCCAGTAGGACTACCTTCCTACGTATGGAGATCATTTCTTGTAGTTTAGCTTCCATAACATATTGATAATCATCAGATGAGGTAGAAGAGGTTGGATCAGACTAACAAGTCAAGGAAAAGGAGAGGGACAAAATTGAAAAATCAGAACTAAAGACACTGACACTGAACAGAACACAGCACAGAATGCTTAAAAGAAAAGTGTGACTGAAAATTTAATACTTTCAACTGACAGATTTTTACGTGGAATAAACTACACTGATACTTGGTGAATATGATGCAGTTGATGTGGAGAAACTGAAAATAATGGAATGCTAAAAAAGCTATCAACCTACACATGGAAGTTCAAGGTTAGTGATGGCTGGCTGATGACATATTACTACAGAGTGGATTCAAAGCAATACTGTCTAATCGAATGTTTTCTTTGGAATTATGGCAAACTAAACACCAGAAAAGGACTCTGCGAGGCCAATGTCAGAAAGTCCTTTATAATCCTTCTATCATTTTCTAGGAATGAAAACAATGCATAAACACTAAATTAATGGATTGGTCAGTTACAGAACTGTGCAATGTTATGGTACGTTCCCTAATTTCTAGAAAACAGAAAGAAATTCAAAAGAGACAAAAGGCTCAAGCTTCAGTATTCCATTTTAGAATACACTACATAAGCCTTTTCATCCAAATAAACAATATAGTTTCCATCCCTTTAAAAGGATCCACCCTGGTGGATCTCTTTGGAAGATCAAGGTCATCAGATAAAAGAACCACCTATAAATAAAAATTCATTAATAGGAATGAAAAGTCATTACTGAGTATAGAAATGGTAATCCATCCAAAGATTCATTACTACTTCTGACAGATGTTGACCTTAATTAGGTCATTTGTTGCAAAACATGAATACTCATGTTATTGTCATATCAAACAAGTCTATGTTATTATTTCAAATGAAAAAAAAAAAGCCCTTAAAGAAAGGGAAATGCTATATTAGATTTGTTGCTATAGAAACAGGAATATGCATAAGCTGTATAGACAGTGCTACTGATGGCTGAGTTGTGAGCTTGTGCTTGTCAAATGCTATTTCACTCTGTCAGATTTACCCTCTCTCAAAAAGAGATCCTGAACTCCATCTTTAGATGACCAAACTTTAATATGTACAAGAAATACTAATTTTACAACTGTATTTTTTTAGTTAGACTGTTTTTCATACTGTTGTCTACTAATGATTTATCAGAATAATTAGGAATAGATACCAAAGTAATTCCAGATGTACATCATAAATTAAAATTACCCATAACTTAAACTCAGTAGTATTATCAGGACCAAAAGATCAGACAGAAAACAAGCCTGTGATCCAGAGATTTATAAATATAAACTTCAGCTTTTGATATGAACCTGCTTTGTATAAATACAAGAATAATGCTTAACTTTGAAGTTGACTACTATTTCTTTTCAGAGTAAGTATATTCACAAAAGTCAGATTCTTGCAAAATTTAAGGGAAAGTCAGTATATTTTGTAACTAAGCTCATTTAATAAGTGCAATTATCATTTCTGATCACGAAGCAGGCGTATTGTGATGTATCTGAACTTATTCATTATCTGAAATTATTATGTCTGTTTATTACCACTTGGACCAGTGACAATCCCTTCATGATTTTCTTTATCTTTGCTTTTAGTTTTACATATTAGTTTGTGTCAGCACACAAATGCTAACACACTGCTTCCTCTCCCAATTGGATAAATAGATAGGTTTGAAAAAGTTAAGTTGCTGCGATTGCAGAAAACCAGATCATGCTATCCCTTCAATGAAGTCTTTCTCCTCCTCTGTAGAAGATCGACTTTTCCCCTTTTTGAGTCCTGGCTGCACTAGTGGTTCAAGGTCTTCTCTGAATGAGTCTTCAAGGGTCAGGAGATTTGAAATCATCAAATCTCTGAGCTGATGATGGAGAAGGCTGAAGTAATTCTACGTCTTTTGAAACTATTTTCATTGTGGGAGACGTAGAACCCATTGAGGGTATCATCCTACAAAATTAAACTACTTAGAATCTTCGTTAGCTGACTGCATACTTTAAAAGCAAGTTACTTAATCTTCACTGCTTCTATACAGTTAATTGCAGGTCAATGCAAAATATGAAGATAACCAAACTAATACTTCTAGGTTCAAAGGGGATCTCATTTAAATCTTCTGATATGTGGTGCTGTCTGTCTTAACCTGGCCTTGAGAAGCCAGTCTAGCTAGGTATATAATTTACATTTATTTTTCAAACTAAAATTAGCTTTTTCAGTCCAAACCACACCATACCTTATTCCTTAGCAGGAAACAGTATTTTCAATGCATAAAATAATTGTGGTATTAGGCCTAACTATTATTTGGAAAAGGAGGAGGAATGAAATTATTGTCAGAATTATGTATGTTATCTGAATTCTTATATAGAAAGCATTCTTGAAAGAACATGATGTTCTCTTAAGATTCTTATAACTACCTAATTCTGTTATTTCATAACTTCCTACTGCTTTAATAATTCAGTAAGGTATATGTTTAAGATATATAAAAATCTTTTTGCAAGAGAGTTTTCAGTTATTTAACTAAGAATATTAAAACGTTGATAGGTACATCCTTGTTAAAAAATCTTCCTGATTGTGGCTCAGAGTACCTGTACTTCATTTTCCAGCATAAAAGAAAACAGACCTGATCTCCACATTCATCTTACTTTGCATCTCTTTGGTAGGATAAAGAGACTTTAAAATTAATTACAATTCACTATGACTTAGAATCAAAATAAATGGCATTATTCTAGACACTTAAAATGTATTCAAATATTTTATGCTTCCTTTATCTATGTGCATTTCATTTGTTTGTTCCTAAAGTGTTATTCTGTATTACTGTAAAAGAACCAAATTATTTTATATCTGAGACATTAAACAATTAGGCTCAACTGCCTGTCTGGCAGAGGACAAGCACAGGTGCGCAGCCTTAGTACCTACCCTGGGCTCTAATGCTATTCAGGGATTTCAACCCCTGGTTCTTACATGCCAAATGCATGAGCAGCCCCTGCAGCAGGGACATGAATCAAAAAGATGGTCTCTGTAAGGGCTAGAGAGGCAGAAACACACGTACATACTCCCTTTTTCTCTCACTTGCAGTAAGCCACCTGCAGACAAAGACCTGCAGTAGGAAAGAGCAGCCCCTCCATCACCTGGTGTGCCTAGCTGGAACACACTCCCAAAATGAGGGTTTCAACACCTCTCATTGCCCTTCACACTGAGGAAGGCCCCAACCTGGGTCTCAAAGAGACCCTTCCAGACAAAAAGACACCAATTCAGCTATTCCCCAAGGGACCTGCAAGTGCCTCTGCACAGAATTCCCCAGGCCATATTGTTAGGATTGACACGCCTCTGGCAGCTAGACCTTGTTGTTGTCCACTTGCGTTAGTCAGCCCCAGACATTCCCAGCAGAATAGGCTCTTTGGGATACTTGGGAGCCTACCATAAAAATATTGAATCTCTCAGTCTCTGCCTTGTGGTTTGAGGCACGAGGCAGGGGCTGAGACACCAGTGTTAGTCATGTTCCCGTAGGAGAATTTCAGACACACGTGAGACAGAAGGGACAACTGTGGACTCTGAGGCTCATAAACAGAAGTTGGATTTCTTCTGACTTGCTTTGCTAAGAGTTAACTGAGTTAAAAACTTTCTAAAGTGGAACTTGCGTGACTACTTGCCTGGCAGACATTACCCTACATTCTTCTTTTTAATATATGACTTGCATGCCTGTTCACTAGTACTCTGTACAGGAGGATTAGTAAGACACATGGTGTGGTATTCAGCAACTAGCATTTAAAGCATTTAGCCAGCACATTCAGTTATAAATAGATTTGTGAAATTGTGTCTCTTAGACTGGATTAAAAATATATGGACAAAAACTAACAATGCCTGACCCCTATGAGATACCAGCATGAGTCTCAATGCTCACTTTGCACTCTATATGCTATGAAATAGCAAAGAAATAGCCAGTATAAGCCAGCAACAGACAGGAAAATTTTGCTTTGAGGGAATACCGAAGCAGCTTGTATTATTGCTCTCTAACCCTGTTAAAACTCTGCTGCTGCTCCTGCTGCTAATGCTCCCACAAAAAAAAAAAAAAAAAAAAAAAAAAAGTTGCTTTCACGTCATCTGTTACTGTTGGCACTGCACATTTTCTAGGTCTTTGCATCTTAGTTAAAAAAAAAAAAAATCCAATTTCATATCCAGAAAACACCTGTACAGTACAGGTGCTATAATTTTTCTTCCTCATGCTGAGCTGCAGAAACAAATCTAAACTTTTCTAATGTTACAAGCCAATTTCCACAGTTTTGAGACCTTGATTTTTGAACACCTGCTGTCTCCAGATTTTTTACTGGCTTCTTATGGCACACATTCTTTTGGCTATCCTTTGAATGACTGAGTTATTCAAGAAGAAAGAATGCGTTATTGAATTGAGCTATGCAACTGAAGGTGAAAATAGGTGATCATGGTGACTGAATCACAACAGCTCACAAAGTTATCAGCTACTTGTTCACTTGCTCACTTCTAACCCGTTACAAATGTGACAAAATGTGCTGGCTTAATCACCCCTTTTTCTGGAACCCAGCCTTTCAGTCACTAGATATCCACACATTCTTGCCCCTCCTTCATTCCCCCACTACGTTCTACACCTCATAGGTTTAGTAAGCAACTCCTTCCATTTAGCTCTGTCAAACTTGCTGCTTTCATTTCTTCCTCCTATCAGGACAAAATCTTCTGTGGAAAGGGAAGCACAAGAAGAGGGGTGGTCTGAGGGGACAGTAATGTGTTGTAAATGTTGAGTTTTCTTAGGCTTCCATCTCCATAGAAGATTTTAGCTTCCCCCCCCCTCCCCAGAAGAAGATATATCAAGTTCCTTCTCCAGGTAACACATCACCTTCTCTCTCTCCTGTGTTCTCAGAGAGGTTTCTATCTTAACCACACCCACTTCTTGCAGAACTTCTTTCCCCTCTTTGCAACTTTTCCACTGCAGACTTCCTCCTTTCACTTTCTTGCAATTTCTTCCCTACTTAATGCAAACCAGATCCCCACACTGTCACAAAACAAGCATTGTGTCCCATTGGCCTCCAACTTTCAACTCATTTTTTATCACCTTTAAAATAAGCTGAACGTGTTACTACGCTAAATGTGGTTTATTATGATTATGGTTTCCTCTTCTCCATTGCAGTGCTTCTCTAATGCAGCTAAAAAGCACTGTTGGTATTTCTGGTGACCTGCATACAGGAATGATGGAGTAAAATGCTGACTGCTGTCTTGTGATCAGAGAAGTGACATGGTACCTCTGTTGCACAAGCACCCGAGGGGGAGAGTGACTGCTAGTGGGAGTGAGTGGATGGAAGTAGGTGGATGCTGGTTGTCTCCACTAGACCCCTCCTTGAATATATGCAAGGAGAAAGCGTGTTTGACAGACTAGCCATCTGAAGATTGTAGATGCTCCAACGTCTGTCTCTTCCGAGGAAAACAAACATCTTACAGGATAAGGAAAGGTTCAGTTAATATTGGAGGGAGGTTCTTTCTGCTACCAACTGCCTCTTCTCCAGGGCAGGCAAACAGACCAATACTGTGAGAGTGAGTACAGGTGGCTCAATGAGTCATGGCAATCTAAATCTTGGGATACATGCCGAGAGCTGTGCTACTTGTCATGACCAGACAGATACCAGTGCAATGGCCAGGCAGGACGGCACAGTACATGGGATCATGCTGTTCCAGGTTAGTCTGCCACACGCTGACTAACCCTCCAGTTGCTCACCCAATGGGCAGAACACAGTGAAAACAAAGCCAAAGAAAAGTTCAAATGATTCAGGTAAATTTATGGGTACTTATCTGAGTTCACTGTATAGTCCAAACTTTTGGAAGCTCACTCCTTATGAACTAGTTTGGGCATGGAAAAGTAGCAAAAGACATTCACTAGCCCATATATATAAAAAAAGAAAACCAACTCGTTTTAAAAACTGACACCATAGAAGGATCTCATTCTACAGCCTTCTTTTGCAGAACCCCAACCCAGATTTATTATGAGGAAGAGTATAATTAATTGAAAGCAGAATTATAACATGCATATTTTAAACTCAGGGGGCGGGGATCACATCCAAATCCAGAACATGTTTGTTCTGGTTTATGTCCACACGTAAATAATTGGTCTTATATTTTACCACAGTGAGGCAGTCGTTGTTTCCAGTTACCCCATACTACTTTTCTTTAAAAAACATGTAAAGCATTAGGCTTAACTCACCTCTTTCATATGACTGTAACCCCATTAATCTCAGAGAAGCCACTTTCATTGAGGTAGTACAAAAGAAAGGAGAATCAGGTTTGACTTTTTTGCAGTGCAGAAGGACTAGCTGATTCAGGGGGCTCATCTTTTACTTAGTATACATGAACATTGCAGTGACCATAGCTCAGGTAGGCAGACTTAAGGTAGTCTGAAGCCAGCTAATTTAAGCCCTACTGACAACCTGTATGCTGGCAAAAAGCTCAACAAAGGCAAAATTAATTAAGCATTATTGAGCCCCTTAGGTAGGTCTTGCAGCTTTCATTGAATAGCTAGTGTGGTAACAGTATACCAGCTAGCTAATTTAAAACTACTCAAGTAAGCTGCAGTGACTACCACACCATCCTTGGTTCCGAGCCTCATTTATGTGATCTGTGAAAAGTACTGAACTTCAAACTTCAGTGCTGTAAAACCAGCACTCTAATAAGCTCTCCAGTTTGCAAAGACGTTGTATACAAGATATATAAAACACAGGCTTATTTGGCCTATTGGCCAAATTCTGACATTCTTCTTCATGTCTTGTATTCCAAAAAGACATAGTTTTATATAAAATTAATTTCTTCAGCTTTTCATGTAATCACAGAGAAATGAACAGAACCAGCATTACAGTCTAATAATCTTAGTGTTTCCCGCTTGGCAAAAACTTTGTTAAAGTACATCGAAGTGAAATGGGTGGAGCATCAGCTCTGTTCACAGCTCCCTAACGACCTCCCATGAAATAATGTAAGACAAACGGAGACGTATACTGCAGCTTTATGGTCACAATAACAACAGTATCTCATGGAAGTCCCTGAGTGCTCTGCATGGTTGAAATGGGATTTCTTCTTACAATATTTGTTATTAATATATGTTCAAGGAAAAATGCAGTTACAAGAAAAGACATGCTTGAGACTGCAAAATACTTACTGGTGGCTAATTGTTGGAGAAATTATTCAGGAAAAATGCTCTTAAAATAGAAAACAGTATTTTTAAGCTACTGAGGGCATTACAATATGTGATTATTTATTGAATCAGAAACAACTGAAAAAAAGAAGTTAAAATGCCAAGGGATTGCTCTTATGTGCACCTGAGTTTTTCTTAAAATGACATTTGTTTGATATTTCACGTAGCTCACGTTTTTGCCGATTCTTCTTTTTTCCCCCCATTTTAAGTCTCTTTCAAATTCCCACCCATTCATATAAATCTAAAGTGGACAGCACAAAATCTTGATTACTGAATAATGATCTTGCTTAATAAAATAAAAAAAAAAAAGAAAGAAATCAAATCCCCCCCCCAAAGCTTCTCTTTCTTTCTACTTCTTAACTAAACTACTTAAAAATTCGGCTTCATTAGTGAGCTGCTCAGCACTTAAGGCTAAATAGAAAAACATGAGAATTGAAAAAATCCATCAAATATAAAAATGGCTAGGCACATAAATAGCTAGAAAGATTCCTTGGCAGTAAAGAAAGGAAAGCTTAGATAAATCAGAATGATATGTAATACAATCTCTTAAATGCATTTTTCTTTATTTGTATGATTTTAAGAGATGAAGAATAAACATATTACCGATATATGTCTTTATGAAGCTGACAATACCCAAGCTGTAGTATTAACTACATGCACACCTGAAACTATTATAGGCCAAATATGAAAACCACAGTACTGAAAATTTATTTTTATCTTCTTATTTTTTCTGCAAGAAAGCTGCCATATAATAAATTTACCAGAAAAACCAGTCTGAAGTCCTCTCAGGGTTTCACATTTATCTTTGCAAATACATGATACAAAGAATCGTTTGAAACAAAACTTGTAAGTATGTACTGCAAGTTGTCTTCATTTGTGCTGTACAAATGATCCCAGCTGCCATTAAGATTTGATTTTATAGCACTTATTGCAATGAAAATAGTTGTTGTTTCATATACATGGTGTATGAAAACTTCCAGAAGAACTAAGTATGTATACGAATGGGACTTCCCCCCGCCCCTGCCTCTTCCCTTAAATTAGAAATTCTTACACAGTAAAATGAATCCTCCTAGGATAAGTAATGCTGGTGTATTAGAAATATATGACTCCTTTGTAAATATAGTCTAGGCTAACTTACAGATAACTACTTCTCCTATTACCAAAATGCTAAGAATTACAAACACGGCATTGAGACCATTCCTGGTTAAACTTGTGGCACATACTTATCAGGAAAAGTTTTCTCCTTTCAAATCAGCTTGATACTACTTTTGTTTTGTCCTTGAGATGAGGAATCAGGATGCAAATCAATGCTAAACAGCGGGGCCTCTGCAGTGAGCCTATTTCTCAGGGCAGTACCTTAGTCAGAGCTGCAATTCTCTGAGCCAGCTCAGCCTCCACTTCAGGTAAGGTTTCAGCCTTCCTCATCGTCTGCTGCAGCTTCTGCTCAGCCAGTTCTAGACGCTCTTGCAGCTGTCTGTTTTTGTCTTCCAACTAAAGGTCAAAGATAGATAAACAGGTATGAAAAATAAAATCAGAATTAAGATTTTCCTTCAATGTCTTGGGTATTGGCGAAGCAATCAAAACTCACTACATAAGCATAGATACTCCACAACCTGGGAGAGCTTATTGGAAACTCAAGCATGGAACCATGTAGGCTGCCAGCCTCACTAATGATGAGTGATTTGAGGCTCAAAGATCATATGAAGGTGAAGAAAAGGAGCTGTAAAATGGTACTCATGAAGATGAGCAAAAAGCTCCTCTGATCAATGCATTGCTTATCTGAGCAAAATAAAAGTATTGGTACCAGTAAAATGAGAATTTTCTAAATGGAAATATTGAGTCCATCTCACAGAAAAGTTTATGTATGAGCTAATGTGGGACAGAAGGACAATTCCAAAGGATAGAATTCCCAGCAAAGTTTATGAAAAAACTGCCAAATGCAATTTTCTGAGCGAATGCCAATTGTATATGAGAAAATGTTAAAACTGACAATTGTTGCTCAGCTAATTCATTCATGATCACATCCTGGTTGCTATTTGCTTAAGGTTACAGTGATATTGTTCATTGTGAACCTACAATTAAGTCTCATTTTACCAAAGTGAAATTGTTTAATCTGTGATAACAATTAAAGAGAAACAGGAAGACTTCTGATAACTGCAGTATTTTCTGGCTTACTGAGATGCACCACACGATTAAGAAGTTTTTAATGGCTTGACAAGTGTTTCCTGTTTTCCCATTCATTCAAGGTAATAGAAGACATAATGAAGAAGGAGTGTGCTTTTAGATTCCTTTTATTCCTTCAAAAGCATGAAAATGTAGGCTTTTCACACTGCAATGCTGCAAAGCAACTTTAAGTCTGCCTGTAGGTATCCTAGGCCTAGTTCTGTTGCTCACTGCCTTGATGCGGTAGACCTCTGCAGCACAGCATGGCTTACATTGTCAGCAAGAAAAACTCTAAGGACAGATGCAGGTACCTTACTTTTCCATTGTTGGATGTTTGGTGTCCGTCCCGTCCCCCCGCCCCAACAATTGAAGACACCTCTTAAAATAGCCAAAGGAAGCTGGCAGAAGCTGGGGAGTTTGAGTGCTGATGCTTTAATTTCCTTGAAGAGGTAGTCACATATGTATATATATATATACACACACACATGCATACAGAGGGATGTGTGCTTGTGTGTGTAAATATATCTGCATACAATCACAGAAGCAGAGATTATTAGATCATACAGTCTCGTTTCTCATATAACATTTTATATTTCAAGACACAAAATTCAAACATTTTATTTGTGGTGAAAAAACCGCAGAAGTCTGATACTGAGGATGAGGAGCAATTTAATCTTCTACAGTTTGAGTTATGTTCATTTCATGTTAGCTTTCAGTTCACATTGTATGCTTCAAGTTACAAACCACGGTTTTTTCCTGTTCACTTTACGCTACAGCTTTTGGAATCACCGTGGAAACAAAGTACCATGAGAGAAAACTGCACAATCATGTTATATTCTTTTCTAAAAGATATTCAAGGATCATTGAGCTGTGTAAAATTTTATCTACACACTGCTAATACATGAAATCTTTAGAACCTATTCTATGCAAATTTTGGTCTTTCCTGCAGAAGGGAATTTCTTTTGCTTATACTATTTTTTTGATTTTTTGTTTAAAAATAAAATTCAGAAAATCATTACAGAAGACACAAAGTTAATCCTTTACTTAGAGGATATGATGATGTGCATTTATGCAGGACACTATTAGAAGATACAGCTATTTTACAACTGTACTGAATGTACTGCTGAATGTACACATTGATTTGGTATTCACAGTTGTAGTGGCTGATAGGAAGCTTAGAGATGCTGAACAACTTGGGTTTTTTTAGATTAACTGATCTGTTGATTAAAAATGAACAGATTAACCTAATGCAAACTTCCTACTGTAGATCTACCCCCTTTTTTGCATTAATTTTCATTGTGTATGAAGAAATCAACTGACTAATGCAGATACTGTACCTGACGTAGGATAGCTTCCTTGTTTGCCAGTTCATTTTCCAGCTTATCGTTCATGTCATGTATGGAGGTGGATTCTCTCTGTGCACTGAGGTAGCGCTTCTCCAGCGTAGTTATTCTCTCTTCCATATCTTCCTTTTGTGCCATTGCCTAACATGACGAAAAACCCCATCAAGAACCATTCAATTAAAGTGCTACATAATTTTATGCCAGTTTAATTTTCATGCTAACAGTAGACAGGGATGTAAGGTATGCTCAGCAGTAATTTTTCTGTTTTAAAGAGAATTTATTTCCTTTGGGATTTCTTGCAAGTATGATATTTAAAGTGGTAGCTGTTGAGTAGAGCAAACAGAAACAATCCTCAACTTTTGTATATTTTTCTAGTTTCTGTATTTTTCAGTGCAAAAAACTAGCAAATGCAGCTCATGTTTACTTGTTTTCTTCTTAAATAACAGCAGGCTTGATTAGAAAAACTGCTATAGTTACATAATAGTAGAAATATAGTGCAGTAATGTGGGGAAAAAAATGTATATGCACATTTCTACTCTTATTCCTGCGTTTTGCTGAAGCACATGTAGCAGACAGCAGGTGACATGTCCTGAAATTTCAGGAAAACAAGTGACCACAGCACTGGATACATAACATAACCATAACAAATGGATATGTGATCCATATATGTTATGGATAAGGATTTCTTTAAAATCTTGAGCTGTTTTCAGTCATGTGTTACAAGCTGGCTTCACTGAAGTCAATAGATGTAATTTAGATAGATTATTCATTAGTCTATTATACTGTTTATTTCTCTTAAATTAATTTTAGTGAAAGCAGAAAATTTTATTCTTCTTAAACTTGTGTCTGACTCTTGAGAAGACTTACATGTTGCCCACATAATCTCTCACAATGAAAATATTTACTGATCAGCATGTTTTGTTGTTTGTGTTATATTACATTATGAAAGCAGCGTTGAAGTAAGTGAGATTATTTTTCAAGTAAGACACAATAAACATAAAAATTGATCTAAAGAGCTGGTCCTAAAATGGACCATATCCAGGTAATCCTTTTGCATATTGCTGGGAAAAAAAACCCATAAAAATAGTAATTATGTATGTAATTCATTAAAAACACACAGGAAAAAAATCCAGTAATTTATCCAAGTTACACATACTAAACTACCCTTCTTGTTTCATTTTCTGCATTGGGAAGACTATTTTCTGTGGCTGTATGAAATAATGAAGACAGGCACTTCCACCTTTACAAGTACCTTTCACAGCAGATTTTGCACTGATACTTGCTAATTACTCTACATGCAAAGTATTAGTAGCCACTTTGCTTAAGAAGCAAAGGGCTGAAAGCAAGTAAGCCTGTAGCTGGTGTAATGTGGTATTTAAGGGAGAAAGAGCACGTGGCAATCAAGCGTCCATAAAACAGCAATATTTGTCAAAAGGTAAATGAGAGTGGAGATATTAGAGACCCCTAGTGATATAACGTAGCAGTGGTGGAAAAGGAGAAACATATCAGCACAAACTAGTTTTTGTAACCGGATAAAAATAATACAATACTTAAAAAGAGGCAGAGTACAAAGATGTGAAGACACTTTGAGGCTGTGTCAGGCATCAGAAGTTCCGAGGGAACATTTCTTCCAGAATAGGTTAAATAGATTCTAGAAATAACAAGTTAAATGTATACATACATATGCATATATGTACATACACACATCCATATGAAATGCCTATATTGTAGGAAGCATTGTAACAGAAAGATAACTAATTTCAAAATGCTAAAACGGATTCTAGAAGCCAACCATCCACACATATTGAGAACATCCACATAAGACAACATACTCTGGAGAGTACTAAGGAGCATCACAAATTTAAGAGGAAGAAAGAAAAGGAAAATTGAATTATATTTCCATTTATTGAGAGAAGGGAATAGTATATTATAACAGGAGTAATAAAGTTACCATACATCAGTAAATATTATAATTGATTATATAAATAACACCATTCTATAAAACAGCCCAGGAGTTTTTAAAATGTACTTTAGACTATCTATTTAGCATCTCTATTTAACAGAGTTCATCTTAAAAACTTGAAATGGCTGAAAACTTGCCAGAATGCTCTCCGGTAATGCTAAAACACAAAGGAGTTGGCCTTCCTCCTATTAGAGTTGCACGTATACAGACACAGTTCTATGAACATGCTTTTATAAAGAGATTACTAGTACTATTTCTTAATGTAAATTTTGCATTTCCTATGTACAATGGCTTTTATCAGTGTTCAACTTTTGCTTCCTGTATTCCTTGGCCTCCATCAGTTTGTACTGGGTATCACAGGAACAGCAGCCAAGAAATAGGAGGTGAGTGTGGTGAACTCCTTACCTCTCTAATGTCTCTCTGATATTTACTGTTCATTTCTTCAGTTTTAATGAGCTCCTTTCTGGCGGTCTCAGCTTCCTGCTCTACCTCTCCCACCCGCGAAGACAGCGCAGCCAAACGCTCCTTCATTTGTGCCATTTCATAGTTTTGCTTTTCCAGTAGTTCCTGAAGTTCAACAACTTGACTGGCTTCATCATTGGAGTCTATGGAGCCATTGGATAGGCGCTGTTAACAGAGAAGTGACATTATTTATTAATTATCTTTTAGTGTGGACTATATCTAAGGAATTTCTAAAACAAAGATTATTTTTAAAATTACAAAAGCAACTAGGAAGAGAAAACCACAATAATTTTCATGGTAGGTAAGACAGCTGTAGTTTTGAAAAAATTGCAAAAGATTAGTATTAATTCATATCAAGGGATTCCAGAATGTAACATCACATAGAGAAGTAAATGACTGCAGAGCAGAACACTATCCAAAAATAGCTTTAGTTTGACATTGGGGCTACTCAAGTACAAATTGCAACAATACGACTCCTAAAAATCACCAAATCGAAAGTATACATCTTAGCTAAACTTACACAGCATTTAAACTTAATCAAAGTCTATTTCATTTCCAAAATAGGCCACACTACAGACAGGAAGCAACACTAGTAAATCGCAAATTCACTGCACCAGAAAGTGCTTGGAGTCTGGACAACACACTGGTTAAGTCTACATTAGAAACAAGTTCTGCTGAAGCAGTTTGTGTGCTGCTGAAAGCCCTGGTATGAATATAGTTATAAAGAAAAAAAACCCTCAAAAGACCAGAATACCTTATTGCATTTGGAATATGATCTATATTGCAAATAAATGATGTCAGGAAAGAAGCGTGTGCACTAGGAGGACTTGCTGGCATTACCTCATTATACTAGATAGTCACACTAACCTTTTCCAGCATAGGCTAAGCCATTATCTCATGTCAAAACAAAATAGGCAAAAAGAACAAGTAAACGCAAAATGATTTGCTTTTGACCTATAACATGAAAAAATAAACAAAAACCTTCCAGCAAATTCAAAGAACATTACTTTGTTTAATGGCTTTAAGCACATTCTTTCCCCAGTCAGCCATAAAATGAGCCCAGATCAAGACCACCTGCCCGTCTGTGGATCATTGAATAAAATTATTTTACTCTAAAATTTCATTATATCAAATAACTCAGTTCCAAAATTGCTTAATTATATTATCTTCACATTTTACGTTAGCTGCTGAACCATCTTTGATCTACTTTCAGGATATTACGGTAAAATAACAATAGTAATTAAAAAACTTATTTACATTCAGTTTATTGTTTGGAAAGTGTTCAGTTAGTCTACTTGAATCTAAATCCCATTAACATGCAGCAATCACATATGTAAACAAAGTAGTACTCAAACAGGATAAAACATTGTAACCATCATACGTTATTCCATTGTGTAAATTTGAGATAACTTTTTATCTATGATTATAATAATCTGTTTTATAGTTTTAATTTCATACAGAAATTTTAGTGGTTGTCACAGATGAACAAATTTTACCATGCATTGAGTTTGCCCTATGATTCTCTACATAGTGGTCCATGAATTTCTGCAAGATTATAAGCAGCAAAATACCAAATATGAAAAGCAATAAATGGCATGTAAGAATATACCTTACGACATATAGGCCATGGTCATTTTGAAATGGCAACCTTCGATATCTAGGAGTATGTTCAACGGCAGAGAATTTTTTTTTCATTAACAATTTTTTTCCTAAATATATTAATAACCAAAACACATATAAATTAAAATGTGAAAAATATATTTTTTCTATTAATTTATGCAAAGACAAATAAAAAAGTATTTAGAATTAAACCCTCACCACTAGACAAACACCGACTGCCAATTATTCATGTATATACTTTGATTTATGCACATAAGCTTCTCATAATTCTTTGATGAACTCTTTGTACAAGCCGCTTTAATTCTACTCATTGTTCACTTTTGGTTTATATTATTCCAGTATTCATATATATATAGCTGGTTGGCATTTAAAATTTCCAGTTTACAAAGAAGTCAAAATTTTTTTTTCTTAGTATGATTGGGATTAAAAAAGAGTTTTCTTTAAAAATACTATTAGAAATAAAAAACTCAGCTTAAAAATTGGTATTTTTAGAATTTTGAGGCATACTTTAAAAGTTTACCTAGGGATTTTAACTGACATTTTGTCACTTTTATGCCTTGCTATTATGTTATGATATATCCATTATATGGGTACATCACATGGAGTAATCACTCCAAGAGACCACAGGCAGAAAATTATTAAGCATTAATTCAAGAAGTAACTGACATAACATTCCTCAGGTTCTCAGGAGGGCTTTTACCAACAGTTTTATGGTCATAATTTGCCCTCTCCCCCAAACAAAAAAAGCTTGAACAAGAATGTGAAAATATGCTTTGCTGGTAGAAACAAAAGACATCCTGTAGATGACGCTGATTCAAATGCACTTTCTGAATTAGTGAAAGCAGCAGGACCCTCACAAGTCCCAGAGGAATTCCCTATGGAATAAGCTGTGGGGCAGAACTGCAGCATCTTCTCTATTACTGGTTTTGTGAAGAACGTCCATGTCCCTCATTTTCTTTTTTTAAAAATTTATTTATTTATTTATTTTTAATCTGGTTTAATTTTTTGTGCTGAAACATTTCCTCGCCTGCAAAGAGTTTCCTCTTGATGATATTGTGTATTAATTGCAATCCATTTGTAAATAAACAATTAGTTGAATGCTTAAAATAATGACATCTAAGTTTTGAATAGATCTGTTAATTATTACCTGAAGCACTGAGGGAAATCACGAAAAAGCATGCACAAAAGAGTTTCAAAACAGACATTCTTAACTGTCATATCCCTACACTACCCAAAATCCCCAATATATGCAAGAAAAAGTGTCAAATTAGTACAGAAGGAGTGAAAAAAGAAAGTACTGAAAGTAAGCTGAAACAATTGAGAAGTGTTTAAAGGAGGGCAGGAACATTAAAAAAAACCTTCTAACCAGTTGAAACATTCTAGCAGAGAAAACAAAAAATGTACACGGTCCCCAGATCTGGCTTACAAGTCAGTCATCCAGAGAAAGTCTTCAACAAATTTCATGATGCTGTCTATCAAATGTGGCTGTGAAAAAGCTACATATGGGCACATTCCTTAATTTCAGTAATTTCACATAAAAGTATCTATTAGCAATGGCTATTTTTTCCTTGAAAAAAGAAACGTGGCAAATAGCTCATATGCTCCAATGCTTCGCTTTTGTTTACTAACTAGTTTATCCAATAAGACAGTCCATCTGTTTCTATCACATTTACTTATTTAGGCCACAATGCCGCAGAAATGGTACCATCATATATTCTTGACTTCATCTTTTTTGCTTTCTACAGACACAACGGGTACACACAGCTGCAACGTGTGCGCGCTTGCTACGCACGCCGTAAGGGTCTCTGCCCTCTTCCCCTGTCCCCTTCCACGGGTTTCGCAGCCAGATGAGAAATCTGGTTGGCATCAGCCTGAAAGACCTCGTACAACCTCAGCCAGCTTTGCTGGGGCTAGTTCAGAGCAACCACAGGTAAATGAGCAACCACGTCTGTACCCAGCAAGGCAGCACTTGCTTTCCTCATCACTGGGAAGAATGAGGGGA